CAGGGAGGGGGCACAGCTGCTGCAGGAGAGGTCTTCTATCTCCTCTGGCACACAGGTGCCACCCTAGTGCAGGGTCCCCAAGGACCACACAGGGCCCTATTTTGAAGCTGCTGGCAGGGAAGCCCCCGTGAAGCTGCCGGCCGGCCGCTTTCTTTCTAGGCCAGGGAAGCAGCCCTCCCCTCCAACCAAGCGAGAGCCAAGGCCAGTGCTCAGAGGTCTGGGGCTACCCCAGAGCTCCTGGAGAACAGGAGTAGGAACAGAGCAGGCCCCTCGAGGCTGCTTCGTCTGCCGGAGGTGCTCTGGCACCCTCTTCCTAGAAGTGCTGGGGGGCCTGGAGAGCCCAGCCAGAACCCGGGGGCTCGGGAGGAAATAAATGGGACATGAAGCTGCAAGAGAGGAATCCAGAAGAATTGCCAGGAAACGCCTGTCTCTTACTGGACCAAAGTCAAGCACATCTGAATTCCAGACAAAACTTGATGAACAGTAGAGGCCAACAAAGCCAGAGACCCCCTTGAGCATTTTTTGTACATGCACAGCAGGGGCACCTCTAATCCCCCCACCCCACAAAGACCGGTGATGTTCCTGGCACGCTCCTTCCATGCAGTCTGCTGCTTACAAAAAAAATATTAAAGTATTTGCCATCTGTTCTGTCAGTGACTCGGAGCAGCTCAGGGAAATACAATTAAATTTTAAACAAGAAAGGTGCATTTTTAAAAATCCAAAGGCCTGAGTGCACAAGTCTGTTTTGGCCCGCTCCCCAACTGCAGCAAGCAGAGTGGGGGCAGGCAGCCTTTTGGGGCCAGTGGCTATATTCAGGTTTGGGTCCTGAGTTGAGAACTGCCCTCAGAGGCTGCTTCAGCAGGACAAAAAAATACCAGACAAGCTAAGCTTGGTTCGTTCTAGTTCTTATCATCAAACTTGTATGCCGCCCATCTCCCCCAACGGGTGACTCTTATAGTTTTGTTTTTCTGCTACTCCAGGTCACTCTAATGGTTCAGGAGGTGGTGTGAACTCAGGAAAGGGTCAGCTCAATGGCCAAGTTAAGCGTGTGGCGTGGATGCAGCTTGGCGCTTGCACCAGTTTTTCTTCTAGCAACTTAATAGTTGCATTTGCACAAGGTGCAAAACTGACCCTTTCGGAGAACTGCACAACTTGCTGAGCCACCCAGGGATGAAAGTGAAGCTTAAACTGACAAAGTTTATCATGTCTGGTTGCAGCCCCTAGATTTTCACACAGTTAAGTGTGTTTTGTGAATGAGTCAAGGAGTTTGGGGGGGATTAGAGGGCCAGAATGAAAAAGTGGTAGGACACAAAAAAAGGGTTTTCAAACCTCTATCCATTATTATTCAATTTTAATCAATTATCCAGTCCTTTAATTAATTTCAATTAACTTGATTAATGAATTTGGCAAGTTAAAGGTGAGAACAGGGAAGGTAGAGCTGAAATTGGCGAGAGCAGCACTGCAAGTGGGAACAATCTTATGCAGCAAAGTGAGAAAACCGTTAATCAAAATTGCAATTTGTTTAGTTAAGTCGTGTCCGACTCTTCGTGACCCCATGAACCATATTGCGCCAGGCCTTCCTGTCCTTCACTGCTTCCCTGAGTTTGCTCAGTT